CAGTCTTCACATAAACTAAAAAAACTCTGGCTCTTATGGGGAAAAAAAACTCTCTGGCTCTTACGAGAAAATAAACTAAATTTTATTTTTTCCTTCTTTCTTACTTTAAGTATATAAAAAAAATACAAAATTGATTTGTCCAAATGAGGGGATACTTGAAGTTTCCAGAGAGCTGAAAAGCCTGTTCATATTTTGTTTCTTCCATAGTTCCAAAGTGGCCTTCTATTCTTTGACGATCATAAACTCTCGATTGACCAGGTTCTTCTCCAATGAGAGAAAACTCTTGCAGTCGTTCAGATTTCATAGCTGTCGCGACTGATATCCGGACGAGAAGGCCAATTGCTCTGACTTGACATCGAGTTTCAACGAGTTGTAGATGAGAGAAATGACGAGGTCAATAGAACTGAACTGTGCGCTGGCACCCTATCTCACCGGTCATTGCGACGGACTTCTGAGCTGCAAGCACCGTGCTCCAGTAATCTTCACCCAGGTAAGATTCAGATGAGTTGATTTAGCTTGATTCTCTGAATCGAAGATTTTTCAAAACCCTAATTTTTTATTTTTCAATCGACTCTCAATTATTGTTTTTGTTGGTAATGACCCCTACTCTCCTCACCTCTGCGTTTGAATTTGCTCGAAGTCTCTGCTTAAAGTCCAAAACCGTAGATTCAGCTCTCTTTTCATATTCAATTTCTCTATTTCCTTTGCCCATGAGGTGTTCGAGAAAATGCCTCAACCAAAATGAAGAGACTTTGTCTTTACCTTCCGAATCAGTTCTCTCCTGCATTATTTTGGAGTCTTTGGCCAAATTTTAGCTAATAATGGTTGAAATTTGGATTCATTCACTAGGTTTGCTTCCATGAGCTTGATTTTTTATATGAATGCTTGTTGTGGTTATGTCCTTATTGTCTTTGGTTGAAATGTTACAGAGGAAAAATTGGCTGAAAGAGGCAAAGTAAGCCCGCAAGTTTTCAAAGCATTGATCTTGGAGGGGACTTATTGAGGCAAATTGAGCTGAACTTTTGAGGTGGTCACTTTTTCAGGTAATCAAGTTAATCGGTGACAATGTTGATATTGATTTTGCATTTAGGACCCACGAATGGTTGTTATATCTTGTGCAAGTTTGTTAGTCAGCATGTTGTTCTCTGTTGTTGTCGGTTAACTTCTTCTCATTCTTTAAGAGCTAGTCTTATACCTAAAAGTTCAGTTTAATTTCCTGTGCTGGAACCAAACTCCATGGTTCCCATGAACTACTTTATGCTGGTTAAGTTTCCATTTGCTCAAAACCCAAGTATTGAGTACCCATTCTGAGCTAGTTAGCTATCTTTGATGTTGATGTGAAGCGATGGATGAGCAATGGTTTTATGTACTTATGTAGACTGAAGGGGCTAAATTAGAAGTGTACTCAGTTCTTGGTGTTGAGAATACAAAGGGGCTAAATTTGCAATGGTGTTATGTACTTATGTAGACTGAAGTGAAGAGAAGATAGACTAGTAGTCCTGTTTTAGAGTTATCATGAATAGAAACTGCAATACCTAGCCGTGACTTGCTGAGGTGTGAATTCCATGAAGGGAATATAGAATTGATTTGTGGCTCAGCACTTAGACATAGAATTTTAAATTCCTGTTTTCTAGAACCCTTTAGTGGCTTGCCAAGACCTGTTTATTGCATGCCAGAATAAACACAGCCCGTGATTCAGTAGCGTACTAATGCATGAAATTCTTGAGATAGATCATGTGGGTGAGAGTGACGACGAAGGTGCAACAGATGAGTATTATATTGCTAAAGCAACAAAGAAAAAGCAGAAAAAAACGAAAGGAGCGGGAATCACAATGACAGGTGCATTCTTGATTCTTCTAACGTCCTTTCTCTTACACATGTTATTGTATTTAGATACCTACTTCCTTTCCATTGTTTTGCCAAGATGTGACAATGATTAAATTACTTTCGTAAATTCCAGTAAGATCTGCAGGCTGCATTAGAGTTTGAAAAATTGAAAGTGATGTTTTCAGTTGATGATGATCAAGGAACAATGGAGAAGGAAGGTCAAGATGGAAATCAAATCTGCTGTCCAATTATTTGTTGTACATAAAGGTAGCAGAACTTAATAAGTCTGTGGACTCCTGATCTTAGGGATTCTCTTCTTATTGATTGAGTGTTGCTTGGTTTGTATTTCGCAGAAGCAAAAGTGCGTGCACGGGAAGATCTTGTTGCAGAATTCAAGATGCAACCTTAGGTATGTACTGGCCAAGGATTTGATTTTGCAGATTATTGGTGAAATCTCTGTGTCTGGTGCAACATACTAGTCTATGGAGTTCATTGAGACATTGAAAGGTTAAGCGTGATTTACTGTATATGTGATATTTTGGACGACAGCTCAGTTCCATGCATAAACATTGGAACTTTCGACTGGTTATTGTTACTGTTTTGTTTGGCAGATGGATGAAAGGTTGACTTTGTGCTACTATTCTTCTCCTCAGCAGGGAATCTAAGTACCTAAAGCATTCAATGTTAAACTCTTGCTGATCTATTTTCAGAAAATTGATACCAATAGTTCTTTGTTCTATTTAATAGCACATTTTTCAACTTTGCCTTCTTAGCCACTATGTAGTGTTCACTTATGCAATTCCCTTGCAGCGATTTTATAATTACGGGAGTTGAGGTATTCCTATGATGGTGGAGAGGGATATGCTCAGTAGTAATTTTTTCTATGGTTAGTTCTCTCTCAACTTCGAATGGAAGTTAGTTACGTAGTTCATCTCTGTCACCTTCTGCAGATCTACGCTGAAAGATGAGTAGAAGCTGTGTCCCTTTTGCAGGCTACCATTTTCAGGTGAGAACCACACCTTCTCCGATCCGAGAATAAATTTGCAGGCAACCATTTGTCTGATTCTGGGTATGCATCTCTATGATGGTTATTTTCGGGAAGTTTGATAGTCGAACAGTACCAACTTAGTAATAGCCAAATGCTAGATCCACCCTATTTATTGAGGGAGAAGCAGAAGAAGCCAAACTCAAAATCAGGTGCGTGGAGTAGGCATAACAATAAATAATAAACAGGAGAAGATGAGAGAGTACATGCATTTTTTAAGAGAGAGAGGAAGAAGAATCATTTTGCAGCCTCATTATTTTCAGTCCTAATTCTGAATGAGCTCTCATTTTAGCAATGGAAAATGGCAAGTTTGTGAGTGCTTATATGCTAATATGTTTCAGTTTATCAACTCAGTACCACAAGTTACTCTTAACTTTCCATTTGTTATACATTACAGGGTCTTTCTACATATTTATCAACTCGGAGTGCTTCCTCTGCTTCATGCCAACATATGAAGGTAAACTGAATCGCCTTCCTCTTTTAATGAATGTCAGCCTACAGAAAAGCTCTTACTTCACTAAATAAAGCCATGAGTCATCTTTACCTGGGTTTTGGTTTGTTCACTGAGTTCATGGTATCTAATACTAAACATACTAACTCCGTTGTTTTCGATTGAACATAGCAGGAATACAAGGGTGTGTTTTCTAGTGCAAGCTATAGGAGGATCTCAGTCCTCTCAGGCATCTAGATGATAGAGAGGTGAACTCTTAATTCTCTTCTAGGCTTCACTTTGACTTACTGGACTTGAAATTTTGAGTTTCAATTGTCTCTCTTCGAGCATGTAACTTAATTATGAGTGTTCTAACAAGAGTAGGAATGGTTTGAATGGGTACCAATTTCTTTTAGTGCATTATATGTGGTATTTAAATAATTAAATAGTTTGTATGGGTGTTCCTACAGGGCTATATGTTAATGAAGGAAGTTGATCTACTAGCCTGAACAAAGCTGGAGATTTGTCTTTGATGCTTCAAAGGGTTCTAACTGGATTTGGTGGCATAAGGAGCTAATAGGGGCTGTAAGTGGGAAGATGAAATTTGGGCTCAGTGGTAAGAAAGTCCAATGATGCAAAGGCCAAGCCCAGCCCAGCCGTAGAATTAGACTAGGAAGACAAGTAAAAAATTATACGCCGTTGCCGGGGATCGAACCCGGGTCACCCGCGTGACAGGCGGGAATACCTACCACTATACTACAACGACTCGTTGATGTTTAATCTCTATTAAAGTATAAAATAACTATAAATTTAGGGAAAGTACCTAGGGTTTAGTTGAATATTTAGATACTGTTTTAACTAAATTTATTTGTTTGTGTGTAAGAGGTACATAGTGAAGGTGAAGCTATGATAGGAACCGGCTAGCAAGACATCAAATTAGTAAAACTAGCTAAATATTGACATAGCCCGATGGTGTGTGATTCACTTTGAGCCAAGTGGGCGGTGTGTTAATCTAATTAAGGGATATTATTGTAAATATGTATGTAGAGCAACTCGTGGGACTAAATTGATTTGAGTTGTCAAATAGTGAGAGAATAGGTTATTTATAAGAGTTAATAGCATTTTATACTCTTTTACTATCACAAATTAACAAATGTAACTTTTCATTATTATTTTGCACAAATACAATCCTCTATTAATGCAACCTAACAAATATAGACTTCCATTTATATTTCCGTCACTTGACCGTTCATTGGCTTCTGAAATGACAACATTACCCCTTTATATTCAATTATTGTATAACTAATTGCCATTAGAACAAAATAAATCAATTAAATAAATATTTTTATAATTTTCCGTCATTATCTTCTCTTCCCGGTCGGAAATATCCCCAACCTTCGCACTAAAAAAAATCCCCAACCCCACCCAATTTTATCTTCGCCGAAAAATCAGTTAATTTGTTAATTATTATTTTCACGATGCAACGAAACCTTTCCTTTCTGATGCTCGGATGTTGTTGCTCCTCCGGCGACCGTAGCAAGCGTTCGCTGGTTATCGATGGCGAGCCGGGTTAGATCAGGTCTTTAAGGCTCATTCTTTAAGGAAAATCTTAAACCCATTCCAGCCAATAGGAAGAGGAGGGAGAAAAACATTACTAATAATTTACTAACTACCTAGAAGGGCAAGAAAGGAATATAATAAATATTAATAAGATTATTAATGAAAATAAAAAATGGTAATTAAACTCACGATTAATTAACAGAATGCCTAACCATTTTTGAAAAGACGGTTGTCCTCTATAACCCTAAATCTTCTCGCCGTCGGCATCCATTCCGCGCGAAGCCTGATTCGAATATCAGTCGGCGACTTCGCAACACCCCGTCACCCAGTTCCCCGATCACCGAAGAGGAGAGATGATTCGGGCCGGTAAGAGATGGCCTGCTACAAAATACAAGGTCCTGAGTTTTCATGACTTCCTCGGCCAGAATGGCCGAGGAAACCACGAGAACTCGACTACTCGAGTGCATCCCAGTTTCAACGACATCAAGACTCCATATACCCGAGAGAGCCGCCACAACGAGCGATGAGGAACCGAGGAATCGATATCGAACAAGTTGCCTATCAGCGGGAGACCTGGAGGGCCAGGTGGGAGGCGATAAGAACCTTGGGTTTGCCTGTGCTTACGATGAAGCAACAGGAGGAGAACAATGATGGGGAGAGCTAGGATAAGGTAGAGAAGTTGTGATGCCATTGTTTGTTTCGAGGAAGTGTCCATGCATTATTGATATGTATTTATAACCCTCAATTCACAGAGATGGTATCTATGCTATATATATACACAAATGACGTCAAATAAGCTGTAGAATTTTTCACATAACATGCATATAGCACAGAAGGATGTGGCTCAATAGCTTCTGGACGTCAGCATCGAGCCAAGACATGATCAGCATCTTCATCATGGCGATCGTATCCATACTTGCCTTTTTCTACACTATCCCTGTCTCTAGATAGATAGCTAGGAGACAGGAAGTGGGCCGTGAACAGTCAATGCCACTTGTGCAAAATGGGCTGTAAATGTCCAAAGCCACTTGTGGAAAGTCGGCTGTGAACATCCAAAGCCACTTGTGCAAAAGAGCTACGAGAAAGGACATTTTCTTTAAAAAGGTTTTGGAACTATCGAAAAAAAAAAAGAGGTTTTGGAAGTTAATCGTAAGTCTTATTCCGGGTTAATTGCAAGGTTGGTCACTGAGATTACAAAAAACGTTCATGTTTGGTCACTAAAAATATTTAATTTCATTCGTGGTCACTAAGTTTATTAAAACATGTCATGTTTAGTCACTCTCAGTTAGTCTCCGTTAGCTTCCGTTAACGGCGTTAATTTTCTGCTGACGTGGCTAACAGAATCGTTCAATCAACCTATTTTAACCCAAAAAAATGTATACCCAACCCGCCACATCATCAAAATCTCAATCCAATCCATTAACCAACCCAAATTAAACCTATACACCCGTATTCCAATTCTGACCGCTCCACCCTCTCTCTCTCTCTCTCTCTCTCTCTCTCTCTCCCCCCGCCTGTCCCTCTCTCCATTATGCATCTCTCTCTTCTATTCCCAACCAAGCTCCGATCGAGTATGACGAAGACATGCGATGATGAATGGCGAAGGCAGGGCAGGTCTGGATCTTGTCGTCGACCGGCGAGGAACTTGCAAGGCGAAGGGGAGATTGCGACGAGGTGGGTGATGCTTCCGCTTACTCCTTCATTCAGCCGAGTCGACGACCTCTTTCGTCGAATTAGGGGAGGGCGAAGGCGAGTGGGGGTGATTGAGGCGGAGAGGTCGGTGGCAGTTGGAGTTATGCGAGTGGAGCTGGATTTGAGATCTAAGACCCTAACCTTGACCGGATTGATGAATCGCATTGCAGTCCTCTCGACATCGCTGCTCCAGCTGCACTTGAGAGACCATCGACGGGAGGCCCATATCCCTGGTCGTCTAGGTCCGTCCCAATTCAGAGTTGATCCGACATCCTCGTCCCCCAATCTGGCGCTACCACAGGGACCATCAGCCGGTAGAGATCGAGTTATGATGAGGGCGAAATTGGGAGCTCCAGATCTAATTAATATGAATCTCCTTTTCTTCACCTCTTTCCATCTCTTCTCTCTCTAATAGCGTGTCGCTCGCTCTAACTTTCACTATGGTTCTTCGATTTGATAAAGCGTGGAGTGTGGGTTGCCACCGTTGCCGCTGCTACTTGGTCGGCGAAGAATATAATCGTATTCGAGCTAGCTCGCCGGGGGTGGTGTAGTTTGCTGGTTCGGCGGCTGCACTTTCAAAACGAAATTCACTGACGAAGATGGTGGGGTTCCAGACGATGAAGCTGGATCCGTCGTCGATTGCCGGATCGTGAGCTGTTGTATGAGGAAGAGAAGCATGAGTGAATTTCGCGAGGGAGACGAAACGCAGATAGGTAGAGAGAGAGGGGGTTGGTTCACAGTTGGTTTATGGGTTAGGTTGTGGTTATATGATGTGGAAATTTTTAATGACGTGGCGGTTGAACTTTAAATTTTTTGAATTAAAATTGGGTGACTATGCATTTCTGTTAGCCACGTCGGCAAAAAATTGACGGCGTTAACGGAGATTGACGGAAGGTAACGGAGAGTGACCAAACTTGAACCATTTAACTAATTTCAATGACCAAAATTTGATTTAAATATTTTTCAGTGACCAAACATGAACGTTTTTTGTAATCTCAATGACCAATCATGCAATTAACCCGTCTTATTCCATCAAAATGGTTAGCGGTATAATCGATAACATGCGGTTAACAGTACATCCAGTGCAAGTCAAAATCCGAAATCGTAATTCTAGACAAATGTGTGTTTCTCGGATTTTTTCCAGAAATACCACTGTTTAAAAAAAGAATTTCAAAAATACCATCCAACCCCAAAAAATTCCAAAAATACCACCTTTTTCAAAAACCGCCACCCCACCCTGCGGTTTACACGAAAACCGCTTGCCGGGGGTGCGGTTTTCAATGCAAACCGCGGGCCTAGGGGGCGGTTATAAAAAAAAAATTTGGACCAAACCACTGGGTGGGGTGGCAGTTTTGCCCAAAACCGCCACCCCACCCAGCAGTTTGGTCCAATTTTTTTTTTCGATCAACTCCTAACTTCGTCCGAAACTTCAAACGAACGTAACTTTGCACTCGGGTATCCGATCGTAGCAATTTATTTTTCATTTCGCATAACTTTTCAAGATCTACAACTTTTACTAGGATAAAATATTCAAAACAGGAACTATTTGTGGATATACGGGACCTTGAGAATAACTTTACCTTTACTTTTCACAAATCCATGTACATTTTGAAACTATGATTATATTCAAAGTTATAGATTTTGAAAAGTTATGCGGAATAAAAAAAAAATTCATAACATTCGGATTTTGGAGCACAAAGTTATAGCCGCCCAAAGTTTAACGAAAGTCGAGACCCGGCGGTATGCGGCTTGCAAGATCTCAAAAAGTTTGCGGCCTCCATTTTTTGAATTCGAATAACTTTTTGAGATCTTGCAAGCCGCAAACCGCCGTGTCCCACCTTCGTCTCGAAAAAACGTCATTTGCCACCCCGAACGAGCCTTTTTTTATTTCGTCAAACTTTTGGTGGCCATAACTTTGTTCTCCAAAATCCGAATGTCATGAATTTTTTTTATTCCACATAACTTTTCAAGATCTACAACTTTTAATATAATCATAATTTCAAAATGTACATGGATTTGTGAAAAGTAAAGGTAAAATTATTCCCAAGGTCCCGTATATTCACAAACAGTTCCTGTTTTGAAAATTTCATCCTAGTAAAAGTTGTAGATCTTGAAAAGTTATGCGAAATAAAAATAAATCACTACGATCGGATACCCGAGTGCAAATTTACGTTCGTTTGAAGTTTCGGCCGAAGTTAGGAGTTGATCGAAAAAAAAAAATGGACCAAACCGCTGGGTGGGGTGGCGGTTTGGCCCCAAACCGCCACCCCACCCAGCGGTTTGGTCCAAATTTTTTTTTTATATATAACCACCCCCTAGGCCCGCGGTTTGCATAGAAAACCGCGCCCCCGACAAACGGTTTTCGTGTGAACCACAGGGTGGGGTGGCGGTTTTTGAACAATGGTACTTTTGGATTTTTTCCTGATCTACAAGCGTAAAAATGTAAGTTTTGAACTTCAAATAGTAAATTTTGACTACACTCATAAGTGAAAAGTCTGTAAAAATATAAGTTTTAAAACTTTAAAGCGCGATTTTGATTACATTGAGTGCACCCATAATCGGATAATTTGACTGAATTGTTAGAAATCGAACAAGAAAAATTAGGTTACCGATTTGGATGAGTCGCGGACTAGGTCACTCTCTTTAAGATGTTCGCGGCACTGCCTCATAATTCGCACAACAGACTATCAGCCGGTCACCTCCAGGATAAAACAGCCACTCTAATTTTGTTGCTCATCGGTTTTGTGCGAAAAACGGAGCTCTATGAACTCACTCTCTCTCATGTCTCTGCTCTGCTGAGGTGTGTTTAGAGGGTTTGGGGCGTCTCCTATTTATAGGAGCAGAAAACCCAGAATATTCCCTCTTTCTTTGGAAATAAGTCACATTTTAATTAGGGATATAATTACTCTCATAATTAAAATATAATCTATTAAGATAATTATTCCTAATTATCTCCATAATATTTCTTTTATTAATTATCCATCTTAATTTCGTATTATGGAAAAATACTGGATAATTAATTAGGAATTTCATTATAGCTTTTCAAAGCTATTCATCCCAACAATCCCCGACTTGAATAGTTTGAAACTATCTCTAAGCATCAACAGTTCCATAAGATCGGGCATAAGCTAAGGTATCGTGAAGATTTGAACCTTAGCGTAGTGGTTACACTTCCGATTTCATAAGGGTGACTCGTAGTCTTGAACCCTATCTCAGACATGTAGCACACCAGATCTTTTCATTGAGTGATATTCTCTCGACTCTCATAGGCCGTGCGTTTATGGCCATGCACGTTATCCCGGTTTAGTGAACGCTCTAGCAACTTTGTGCCTCCAAAGTTCCATAGGGAGCGGCCCCACTCCCACATTCACATAGGTGAGTCTATCAGAAGTACCCCCAAAGTAAAGTACCTCACTCCACAAAGAGTATAGATCTCATTAAGAGTTTAACTCAACCTCCAAGGCTTTGGGATTCATGCTTCACTATGCATGAACTTTTCTCAATATTACTCATGACTTGTTATTACCCATTGAACCCGTTTCTTGGGATCTCCAGTCTATCGGGTTGGGTTACCATCACTTGTAATCCATGGTTCGGTAGGCATAAGTCTCATACCTTTCATGGTATTTTGGACTTTTCTCTCTAGGGGATTCTTTCATCAAAGGATCAGCTAGATTCTGTTAGGATCTTACAGGATCCACCCTCATTACTCCTATTGTTAGAAGATCTTTTACAGTAATGTGTTTACGACAAATTTGTCGTCTCTTTTCGTTCTAGAACCGGTTCCCTTGTTTAATAATAGCTGCGGTGCTATCACAATGAATCAACTACCAGAGGGATCGGTCTTTCCCATAAGGGAATCTCTAGTATTGACCCTCTCAATCAACTTTTCTCTTTACTAGACATAGCTAGCTCTATCATTTCTAATTTCTTAGTTGATTGAGCCAGGATCGTTTACTTCTTAGAATTCCAAGACACAACACTTCCAGTGATGTTTGAAACATGTCCACTAGATGCCTTGGAATATTCAATAGGGTATTCTCGTTCTCGTCCGCATCAATATACCCTACCAATACAGCCAGAAACCGTTGATAACTTATATCAAGGTCTAATCTTCTTAAGGTGTCTCATGACCCCTTTCAATAGAATTTCAATGCTTCATACTAGGACAATTAGTAAGCCTGCCAAGTACCCCCCACTAAATCAGGTCTCATGTTTATCAGCTGCCTCTCGCAGACTGTAAATGCTAGTATATTCTAACTATCTTATACCGTCTTAGGTGTTCTTTAAATATTTATACTAGCATCATCAAACATGTATGCAGGTGTACATCTTGTATTTTCCTAGTTATTAGGATCTCTAAGCATAACATTTGTTTCATTCAGATCCTTCACATTCAAAATTCTCAACCATTATGGTTTTTCAATATTGACATCACGAGTCTTTGTACCAAAGATCGACATGTCATTTATAATGCAAGTGTCATTCTCAAATTCGTACTAAATGCACTTGTCACTTTCACTTTTAAAATCATGAGAGAGAATCTGATTATTCATGACACTAATTCTGAGTCTATTTCAAATCATATAATGATTTGTCTAACCATAGACTCCAGAAGCATGTTCTAGAATAACAACCTTTAAGATTGTCCCAATGTAGATTTCTTTATTCAAATCACCATTCAAAAAAGTATTTTAACATCCATGTGATGGATGTTATTCTACATATTGGTGAATAGATATCAAAGAAATCTACAATTTTTCCTCTTCACCTAAAGCCTTAGCTACTAGGCAATCATTATACTCATAAACTAAACCATCATGTTTCAGTTTTCCCTTTAGGAATCCATTTATTACCTTGGCTTCATTGCCAGGAGGTAATTCTCAAAGATGCCAAATCGTGTTCGGTTCCACCGATATATTACCCAAGACTTTATAACCAAGAGGCAACTCTACTAGATTCTAAGTCTTACTAGACTCCACAAATTCCATTTCGTTAATAATGGATTCTCCCACAAATATGCATCTTTATGGAAGTTCGAAGTTCTAGCAGACTTGTAAGATCTTTCTTAGGGTGTAAATAACAAATTCATAACCAAAATCCTTGAGTGATTTATGGTTCATTTGTCTCTTATGAGTTTATACTCATATTCATCACCCCCACTAGTTCCATTATTTCTAATAGTAGGCAGGACACTACCCCCACTATTTCTTGATTTAAAAAGGAAGTTTATTGGCATCAATGGATTTCACAACAACATGAGTATTTTGTTTCAACGGAATTATGTGTTTTTATTGTTGACAACATAAAACACACTCATATGCTCTTCTAGTTATCACTACACTGGTTTGTTAACTCTACCACAAGCATGCGATATATTGAATAATCAGTTCAATCAGTAACAATGCAATTAAGCATTTCTCAAACTATTTCTAATTAGCATCTCTGATTACTAGACAAAACACTTTATAGAGCAATAAATAATTTATTGTCTTTCCACCTTGTTTACCCATATCAAAATAAATCAGATCTATCTATTTTGATTCTCTAACCACATATTTATGGGTCATTTAGCTTGGATATAAAAAATTTATATTTTTCTCAAGCATCCAATAATAATATGGGAATGTGATATAAGATATTCTAATTCTTCATAGAGGCACACATGACACACAGAAGAATGCATCTCATTTGCTTACCCTTTCCTTGCATTTAGCATAATCAACAACTTTCTATAGGTAGGGTATCACTCCCACTTTCCAGAACCATCAACCATAGTGATGAAGGGACAACCCAACAACATTTTCTTCTTCAACACACCTCAATGTATGATTGAGCTTAGTTCGTTTATCACACACTTGCCTTGAGGCGCCATTATCCAACAATCATTCTTCAAAATTATCATTAAGGTCAACCTCTTTCATCACCTCGGTGATTATTACAACCAAATCCTCTTCTTTAATCAAGTCAACACTAGGTTATACTTGTTCTTACACTTTCGTGTCATATGACCTAGTTTCATGCAGTTGTAGCCTAAAAACATAGCGTCATGCTTAGAGGATTGAGTGGCAATCGTATGGTTACCACGAAGGGTACCATTCTATTTGGTGTGGATCTGGTTCAGCTTGCTGCTCTCATTCTTGAAACTTTAATGTTTCAAAGCAACCTAAGTGGTTCGTGTAGTACTGATCATAGTAGTTCTTACAATAGTACTTCAAACTTATACTCTGGTCATTGAGAGGGACACATCTCAATGTCAATACAATCATGCATTGTTTCTAGCTTTCTTTTTAGCATTCACTTTGTATGACATAGCTTCTAATTTATCATTCATTAATAACCCACGAAGAGGTTTAAGCTCTCACCTCACTTAGGAGAAGTCATTACTTTGTGGTTTCAGAAAGAATAGCTAGCACCACATGTAGCTCCCTTGATTCTCCACTTTAATTGCCCATCATACACCACATACGTCACACTCTTCTCCGAGTCTAGCAGCACTACTGATGCCATAGCCAAACGGCTTTATATGCCCTCTTCGTGCCCATATTACGATTTGCCAAGTAATGTTCACATCAAAAGGAAGAAAATTGGCGTCAATAATATTTACGGTACGACAAGATTTCATGGTAATAATTAACATTCCAACAATGTTAATCTCAAGCAATGTTCATCACAATAATTATGTATAGCTTCCTGTTGTGGAAAACGACATTGACGTTTTTGCAGGATAGCTAGCCGATATTGCCACGTAACTCGTCGGACCTGCAAAATCAAACATTAGCTTTCACCAACAAAGAGATTTCGCGGATGGCACCAATATTCCCTTATTATGGAGCGGGATTAATTCTAGCATCAGGACGCTGCGTTGGGGTTCAACTGAAATTCCAGCTGCTCCCGTCTGTACATGAGACGAATATGGTCCAAGGGGTCCGACGACCGGCCTACTCCTTCCTTCTTCAAAAAGGATGATCAACACACAAAGAAGAGCACAATTCATATTAATTAATTCAAATTAATAAATTAAGCACCCTTCTAAATAAAATTCCTCTACTTTTTAGTGGCCGTAATAGTTGGTGCTTGGGGTGTCCCCTTGTCAATCACAACTTGCACATGAATAATTAACTCAATTAAATGCACAATAACAAAATCACTGGCGGAATAGAGAAGGGCACAAGAATGACTCCCTTCCATCGTATCCCGGTCAAACACGCTTCCTTCTGCTTTGTGTTCTGGGTGAGGCCGCGGTCTCGATCTGGAGTGAGCGGAGTTAACTGATCCGCCGCGGTCCGCGTTCTCTCGTCGATGGCAAAATCCACAATCCGAATTTGTTTTCCATTAGCGCAGCGATCGATATCATTGAGGCCAGAATCAGTATCCTGTTAGGACAGCAACCAAGCGTCTTAAAATTGTTAGAAATCGAACAGGAAAAATTAGGTTACCGATTTGGTTGAGTCGCGGACTAGGTCGCTCTCTTTAAGATGTTTGCGGCACTGCCTCATAATTCGCACAACAGACTATCAGTCGGTCGCCTCCAGGATAAAAACAACCACTCTAATTTTGTTGCTCATCGGTTTTGTGCGAAAACCGGAGCTCTATGAACTCACTCTCTCTCATGTCTCTGCTCTGCTGAGGTCTGTTTAGACGGTCTGGGGCGTCTCCTATTTATAGGAGCAGAAAACCCAGAATTTTCCCTCTTTCTTTGGGAATAAGTCACATTTTAATTAGGGAGATAATTACTCCCATAATTAAAGTATAATCTATTAAGATAATTATTCCTAATTATCTCCATAATATTCCTTTTATTAATTATCCATCTTAATTTCGTATTATGGAAAAATACTGGATAATTAATTACGAATATCATTATAGCTTTTCAAAGCTATGCATCCCAATAATCTTATCTCCGTAATTAAAATGTGACTTATTCCCAAAGAAAGAGGGAATATTCTGGGGTTCACACCGAGAATGGACACAAATACATAACGGTTCCCACCGAGGTTCACACAGAAGAGTCGTCAAAACAACCCACCACCAGCAATCATCAAACGGACCATCATCAGCTGCAGCAACAGCAATGGCCCCTCCGAACCAGACTCGCAGCAAACGCATAGGGCATGTGATGATTGATCACCTGGAGCGACTGGAGAGGTCGATGATGGAGAACTATAACATTGAGAGGCTGGCAATGTCAAATAATCAAAAGAACAAGCAAGAACACCGAGGTTTTTTAACGTGGTATCGTCAATGTGACACTAGTCCACGGAGAGGATCTCCCTCTCAGGTTTTTTTATATTGTCCACGTTACCTTTCACCAAACGTACAAGGTAAATATATAGGTTTCTCTTGAAACCCTACTCTACTCGGCTAAGGGATAATTTACATAATGGTACATTAATTACCATAAACTAACACCCTCCCTCAAATTGATGTTGGGTCCTCAATATCAATTTGGATGAAAGATACCAGTGTCTACTCGATCCTACTGCCTTTGTCAGAATATCTGCAGTCTGATCTTCCGTAGACAAGTAGCTAAGCTGCACCACTCCTTTTGCTACTAGCTGTCTAATATAATGAACATGTATCTCTATGTGTTTAGTCCGATCATGCAGTACTTGATTAACCGCAATCTGAATAGCGCTTGTATTATCCCCATAGATCCTCATAGGTAACTGACAATCTACACCCAATTCTTGAAACAGTCATTGAAGCCAAACCATTTCTGAACTAACTTTTGACATCGACCTGTACTCTGTCTCTGTGGAGGACTTTGATACTTTATCATGTTTCCTACACCTCCATGAGACGAAAGATCGTCCAATCTTGATGCACCAACCTGATGTGGACCTTCTGGTATCCAAACACCCCGCAAAAACTGCATCTGGAAAAGCCTCAATATTCGAATCACCATCTGCTGGAAAGAATAATCCGACATCCTTGGTCCGCTGCAAATACCTCAGTAACCGATGCACTGCATCCATGTGAGTTGTGCAAGCGACTCCCATGAACTGACTTACTACCTGAACAGCATAAGCTATATCTGGTCGAGTATGCGTTAGATAAATCAGGCTTCCTACTATACTTCTGTAAAAAGTTTGATCTTCCAACAATACTCCACTGTCGCGGCTTAGCTTGACATTCTGCCCCATGGGTGTCGAACACGGCCTGCAGTCCGCGTACTGTGCAGTTTCCAACAAATCATTTATGTACTTTTGTTGGCTTAGTAACAAACCTGCTTCATTCCTTTGTATCTCTAATCCCAAGAAATAGGTTGCTTCACCTAGTTCTTTGAGATAGAATGCTTCCCGAGTTCCCGTAATGACTGAGTTAACTCCTGCATACCTTCTGTGTCACTTCCTGTCACAATCATGTCATCGACATATAGAAGAAGAACTGTGTTACCATGGATGGTCTGACGAGTGAACACCGAGGGATCATTCTGACTCTGCACAAATCCCGCTTGAAGTATGGTACCATGAAATTTTTCGAACCAAGCTCGCGGTGCCTGCTTCAAGCCATACAAAGATCGTCGTAACCTGCACACCATCCCTGGTCCTCCTTTCGTATACCCTTCTGGACACTCCATATATATCGTTTCCTTCAAGTCTCCATGAAGGAAGGCATTCTTAACATCGAACAGAACTATCTTCCACTTTTTCATTGCTGCGACAGCTAACACACTGCGAGCTATCTGCATCTTGACGACCGGAGCAAACGTCTCGTCGTAATCTATACCATGTTCCTGTCTAAATCCCTGTGCCACTAATCTGGCCTTGTACCTCTCCAGTGTGCCATCAGGTTTCATCTTGACTGTATACACCCATCGACAGCCTATTACAGAGGTTCCCGGAATACGAGGAACCAAATCCCACTTATATTTTCTTCTAGAGCACGTAGCTCTTCCTTCATTGTTGTGTCCCAAAAAACATTCCCTTGAGCAAATCAATAATGGTTGGGTATCGGTATTGGTTCCGCCGAAAAACCAACATCATAATCTTCCAAGTGCTTCGGTGACTGTCCCAACGTGGTCCGATTGGAACGTCTTGGTTGTGGTAGAGGAGGCGGTGTTCCTAGCTCAAACCCAGCTCATGTGAGGAACTAGAATTGCTGGATTCCCTCGATGAAGAAGGGCTCGTTGACAAGGAGCTGGAGCTGGAATGGCTACGAAAAGTAGCTGCTGCCTCTATAATAGGTGACGAGGGCGATGAAGCTCCCATTTCCCTAGCTGCTGCATTGCGTGTCGAGGGGTCAGGGGATGATGACGACGAGGAATTCCCGCTCCCGCTGTTGTCACTTGAAGACGAGTCCCCGGGAGAGGAGGATGCACTGCCAGACGCCGAGGGACCAGAAGAATCCAAGGAATGATTTTCCAATAGATTCCCTCCCTGAAAATCATGACTATGAGGCGGCAAAGAGGCTTCAAACTCGGGAAGAGCACATAAGAAATCAAGATCAGCCGAATCTTTGTGAGAATCCACCGGGTAGTACATTACTTGTTCAAGAAACACAACGTGACATGAGATATGCATGCGACGAGCGACAGGGTCATAACACAAGTAGCCTTTGTGTTGGCTATTGTAACCAATGAAAACACATCGAGCTGTCTTCGGAGATAACTTGTCACGTGTTTTCTTGGGAAGAAGAACAAAACAGAGATAGCCAAACACTCGCAGGGGAGTGTAATCTGGTTCCTTACCATAGAGCTGGCGATACGGAGAACGATGACCAAGGACCGAAGTGACCTGACGATTAATCAAATAAACGATCGTACTCACGACTTCGACCCAAAAGGAACGCGGAATCCGAGATTGAAATAACAATGCTCGGGTCAACTCCAGAACGTGGCGATGCTTGCGTTCAACAAGTCCGTTTTGCTGTGAAACTCCTGGACATGACTGTTGATGCAATATGTCGTGCTCCTTATAAAAATCGAGTAATGGGGTCGAGATGAATTCCCCACCAGGATCCGATCGAATGGCCTTAACTGTCTTACCAAACTGAGTGAGAACCATCTGAACGAAATGCTTGGCATGCGTGATCAATTAGGACTTACGACGCAGGAAATAGATCCAAGTAAATCTAGTAGTGTGATCAATGAATAGGGCGAAATATCGATATCCCACACGTGACACCACAGGGGATGGACCTCATAGATCCATGTGAACAAGGTCAAAGGGCTCGGCATAGATTGTCTCACTGGATGAGAAAGGTGTTTGGGAAGTTTTTGCTTCAATGCAACTAATGGAGGCATCAGTTATATCAGCCGTAGAAACCAAATGATTAGGAAGTAAGTGACGCTGAAATATATCCAATAAACGAGCCTTATGAGGATGTCCAAGAAGACAATGCCATAAATTGCAATGAGTATTCTGCTTCTGAAAATCCAAAGAGCCCTTAGGCTTTACAGCAAAAACAGAACGGTTCATCAAAGAACTAGAAAAATCTGACTGAGTGGAAGAAACTGCTGACCCACTACTAGACTTCAAAAGACAAGAACGAGCATCACCATCAACTCGTGCATCCATCCCAGACTGCTGGTGCAACACCGAAGTAGGCTCCAGTGCACCATGACTTTCCAGAACGAAAACACGTCCAGTCTTCTTACCCTTCCTGAGCACCCTCCCCGTTTTCCTATCCTGCACAACACATCCTGAACTGTCAAACCGAACCTATCATCTGTTAATTGCCCAACCGAGACCAAGTTGGGAACTAGCTCAGGAACATAGAGAGTATTATCCAAGCTCACACGACCAGTCGTGGCCGTACCAATACCATGCACGGGAATACGTTCACCATTAGCCACTTGTAAAGAGACAACAGAGGAGGGTTGCAAAGAGGTAAAACTAGAACGGGCATTTGCCATATGATTAAATGCTGCAGAGTCTAGTAACCAACGAGATTTACCTGAGGTGCCACCAGTGGCAAAAGCAGAATTGAGGGCCGCAGGAAGAGTCTCCTGGAGCACATTTGCCACCAAGCAGCGCACAACCTCAGCCGTTAACGGAGAAGAAGAGGCTGATCCGGATCCACCAGCAGTGATGGTCGGGTGAGAAGGAGTAGCCTCGACTGCATAGCCAGGCCCAGAACGACGATCAGACAAACCAGCACTGCGAGATTGACCTGAGGTAGAGCCACCCGATCGATTGCGACGAGCCAACGACTTGCACTCCAGAATAATATGCCCAGAACGTTTGCAGTAAATGCAAACGCTACGTTTCTTGCAGTGGGGCTGAATGTGACCAAGTTCATGACAAAAATGACATGTGAGCTGGCTGGTGTCTTCTGACTAAAACTGAGGGCGGCCAGAACCACCCCGACCGACCGCAAAGGCCGACTCCCCAGTGGAAGACGACTGATCAAGCTGATGCTGGCTACGGAGACGTGTCTCCTCTCGAATGAGCTCAGCAAACGACGCATCAATAGAAGTAACCTGCATATGAAGAAGTGAAGCTCGAATCGGCTCAAAGTCAGGGCGAAGCTTCATGAGAAACTTCATGAGACGAGACCTAGCTCGTTCGGCCATCATCTCTGCCGAGGCAGCAGTGGGAACTAGGGAGGCAGCAAGCAAATCATACTCCGTCCAGAGGCTGGTGATGGCCTGGAAAAAGGAACAAATATCCATATCACCCTGTTTAAGTGACGCAATCTGAATTTCAAGCTCAAACTGCCGAGAGGCGTCATTCTGTGTGTATGTGGAATGAATATGTTTCCACATGTCACTAGCATCGGTGAAACGAAGAAGACTAAGAGCCGTTGCTACGTCCACTGATGACGCAAGCCAGGTGACAACCTGAGCATTGCCGGCAGCCCAATCAGCGACCTCAGCCGCCGGAGAACCTACCGCAGGGCGCTTTGACTCCCCAATCAAGATAGGAAGTAAGCGCTTCCCTTCCACAAAATTACGGAATTGAAACTCCCACAGTGGAAAATTTTTCCCATCAAACTTAGCCAAGAAACCATCCATCTTTCCAGAATCCATACAGCAGGCAGCAATCAATGAAAGAAAAGTGAGCTGTGACGAGAAGCAATCGAAAATAGCCTTGAAATAAAAACACCTGTTCGCCGAAGGAGAGAACGAGCACGCGGTCAGCACCAAACACACAGCTCCTGGAAGTAAATTACCTGTTCGCCGAAGGAGGAAGCAAGCTCCTGGGGATAATACAAGCGCTCGACCAGCACCAAGAAATTCCACCGAAGTCGAGGCGGCTTTGGGACACGCGCCCTGACGAGAAGCAAAAAAAATACCACCTGTCCGTCGAGCGCTAGGCCAGCGCCAAGAGAAGCCAAAACAAAAGCCGAGAGGGCTAGGAGCAAAGCTGCTGGGATGAGGCCAAGAGAGAGACAAACAAGGTCGGGAAGAATAGGCTGACCAGAAGGAAGAATAACCACCTGATGAAGAACCAAAAACGGAACCCTAGCAGCACGAATGAATATCCGACAATTACCAGCGAAATATGATTAAACAATCTCAAATCGCAGGCTCTAATACTATGTCAAATAATCAAAAGAACAAGCAAGAATATCGAGGTTTTTTAACGTGGTATCGTCAATGTGACACTAGTCCACGGAGAAGATCTCCCTCTCAGATTTTTTGGTATTGTTCACGTTACCTTTCACCAAACGTACAAGATAAATATATAGGTTTCTCTTGAAACCCTACTCTACTCGGCTAAGGGATAATTTACATAATGGTACATTAATTAACATAAACTAACAGGTAAAGCTCGGGAGGCAAGCAATAGAGGGGGCCAGGAAGGAGGCCTTTCTGCTCAAGGAACGAGGGTTCGCGGAAGAGAGGACGGTCAGTGAGCTGCTCAGAGCTTTGGAGCAGATGGAGGTGGCTTTGGCTGCCATCCCGAAACATGGGATTGGAATTGCAGGGGAGCGTTTTGAGGAGAGTTTGGAGGAGGCTGTGTGGCACGCTTTGGATCGGTGCAGGCAGGCTCTCCGTATTGCCATTCCTTTTGGTGAAAAAATGTTGTCAAACCGGTTTATACCGTTGTGCCGGTTTGACAAGTGGAATGGTATGACCGGTGGTATAACCAGTTTGTACCAGTTCATGCCGGTTTAAAAAATGTGAAAACGATTAATATCCAATGTATTTAATCATATATAAAACATATTTGTGGACAATTTAGTTACAATCCAACAAATATCATCAACTTTTAACTATTACATTCATAAAATGAATAATAAATTATTTTTTTATTTATTAAATTCATTAAAATGATGTCATTTTACTTAGAATGTGTAAGTCGATCATACCGGTGGTGTTATGCCGGTTTCATAACCGGCACAGGTTCAACCGGGTGGCATGCCACCGGCATGACAACCAATGCATCTATTGCTTTTCATGTGCTCCATCATCACCCTGACATTATACTATTATTGTGCTTTAGAAAGAGCGTCTTTTAAGTCAGAAAGTTCAACTGACGCGTAAAACAAAGAATGTCATTGACTACTTCACTAAATGAGTAGAATGTGTGCTTCATATATCCTAATTCTTGAAGTCTTTTTCCTACTCACCAAATCTGTCTTCCTAAGGTTTTTTTTTTTTTTTTGTAAAAATTCTCTATCTTTTTAATATTAGAACAACAATTACGTAATCATCCTCCTCAACATGAAACAAAAAATTGCAAATAAATACACATACAAATTTCACAGTTCACACTTTTCTACCCCCCCCCCCCCCCCCCCCCCCCCCCCTGTTTTCTTTCTTTACCGTCTCTATCTCTGAGTTGTGTTTCTTGGAAAACAAGAACGTAACCTGACCAAGTGGTGCAGCCTCTAGAATTCTAGGCAGAAGTAGCTGGGCCTTGAACACAAAGGCCTGCCTTTTGTTTTTACCTTAAGCCCAATTCCTTTTTGTCTGGACTTGCTTCATATAAAGCCCATTTGTTGAGACGGATGAATCATTCCAGTTCTCGACTCCCTCCAAGCCGAACGTTTGCTTCGCTCGCTAGGGTTTCCAGTAGGCAATCGTCGGCGAATATGGCAGCGGGGACCGGGGAGAACAACAAACCATCACTACAAGAAAAGCATGACTTAGCGACGCCTCTTTAGTGACAGGCCGTCTGGCTGTCGCTAAATGCTGTAGTTTCAATGGAGGACTCTGCCCGTCAGTTGACCGTCGGGATCCGTTAGAGTTGAGACCGTGACTCTGATAATATATTTTATATATGAGACAAACTCTTTTGACAAAAAAAAATGAATAACTATTTTCAATGGAAAATCGAAACAATTCACAACTCGAGTTATTGTGATCAACTGGTTCTTGACATGGTATCAGAGCCTAGAACCGAAAGGTCATGTGTTCGAATCTCCACGACCCCAATATTAACCGTTGTCTTTCAAGCACATGGTATGGTGGGCCTGTGCAAACTTCAAGCCCATGGGTTGGCTTTCATTTGAGGGGGCGTGTTAGAAAGTGGTATAAGATCCACGATTGAACCTCTCCCAGGTTCTTGACATCAGCCACTTATGTACACAAGTTTCATTCTCCTGGCTGGCTCCATAAGGAGGTGTGGTCACCACGAATCTCTTGCTACTATCAAACTGGCTCAATGCGAGTTCCATATGGGCTATCGATATGGGTTCGTGACGTTCATTGGCCTGACGACTCTTGAGCTCAGTTTCAGCCGGTTCTCTGCTGATCCCTGGACAACAACGATGACTAGTTCTTATTACGATCCTTTTGTTGATCTCCCTAGTTTGAAACATCTTAAGATCCGTCACTGCGCAGCTTCGGGCTGCAACTTGAGAATATCGGGGCTCGAGCTCCTGGACCTGGAAATTGTCAACTTGAACTCGCCTGAAATTGAAGTGGTAGCTCCGAAGCTGAAATCTTTCCTTTGGGATTACTTTCATTTGTTTCGTCCCGTCGAGTTGAACCTTCCTTCGCTCGATTGCGCGAATATCCGAGTATCTTGGGAAGTTTTGTATGATAAGGGGAGGAATGAGGCATATATGAATTTGCTACGAGGGTTGCATAATGCAATATCTCTCAACCTGTGCTTCGACGAGGTATGTACGTGTGCATAACGCAATATCTCTCATCCTCTGCTTTCACAAGGTAGTATGTACTGTTATTTGGGATATTGTGTTGAGCATACAACAATAATTAATGTATTATGTTATGAATGTGTCACGTACGGTCGGTGTGTATTCATCAATGTTGATCTCGTGCTTATCAGGGTTGGTGCAATGAGAATTGGGAAGAACATCGATTCCCATTTAACAACATGAAGTCGTCGATGGAGTTGGAAGCATCTCCGTTTACGAGGCTGAAGATCTTGAGGGTGGAGTACCCACAAGACCCACCACCAATCATGCCACGCCATGTGATCCGTTATTTCTTCGAACACTCGTCTAATGTAGAGGAGAAGACCGTTAAGTTCGAGAAAGCTTTGTTGTAAGTAATGCGTTGTTGTTGTTGTTGTTGTTGTTGTTGTTGTTGTTGTTGTTATTGTTGTTGTTGAAGTTGTCGCGATTAATCAGCGTATCTCGAATTTAATTGGTGAATACACTGGATAACTAACAATCGAATACAAAATGTGACTTATCTCCCTAATTATCATGATTCATGGTATTAGGTCGGATTCGAATGGACACAAATACAATTTCAATAATTTTGGATGGGTTGAGTTTGAACTCGGTTCAATTTGGATAAACCCATTTGGATGAGACCCAAATGAATCTATATTTGAGTCAAGATAATATCAACTATCTCACTAACTATATTGAACCCAATTACACTTTAAAACAGTTATTATTGTGGCACTGAATTAGTAACAATATTACTGTGATATAACCCATCACCATAATACGTACACACAACACCCTAAAAATATTTGAAATTATTTCATAATAAACGGAACCGTACAAAACATGGATGTCCCGACCATTATAAGCAAACACACTTCTTAGGCCCAAGCCAAAGAGCATTTTTCTTATGCATGGTAAGACCAGGTGAAACCTCCATGTCCAAATCTTCCCTCTTCGTTCCAACCGGCATTTCCCAGTCAAAAGCATAAAGCAGATTGGCCAAAGAGAGCTCCACGGTCACAAGTCCCATATGAATTCCAGGACACATCCTTCTTCCAGCTCCGAACGGTATCAGCCCAAAATCCGCGCCTTTCATATCAATGGACTTCTGCATGAATCGCTCTGGCTTAAACTCCTCTGTGTTCTCTCCCCAAGCTTCAGGATCTCTTCCAATGGCCCAGGCATTGACATAAACAGTAGTTTTCCCAGGTATTTTGTACCCATTTAAGTAGCAATCTTGACTCGATTCCCTTGGAAGCAACAGTGGAGCTGCAGGTTGCAGTCTCATGGTTTCTTTGACGACAGCTTTGAGGTAGGGTAGTCGTTCAATATCTTCTTCTTTTACAAAGCCTTTCTTCTCGATAACTTGTCGAACTTCTTCTTGAGCTTTCCTCAATGTTGTTGGGTTCTTCATTAGGTATGCCATTGCCCATACCACAGTAGCTGCGCTTGTGTCTGTTCCAGCTATAAATATGTTCTGCAAATCAATCAAGACAAACAATTGTGAACATAACCGATTGGCTACAATCCCTAATTTTTTTTAATGTTATTATAAATGCATTCGTATCATGTCAATGCATTAGAAAGTGATAAAATGGTGAATGGAGACCATTAGACCCCTCCTTCAATATTTATTTTCAATCGTGGAAGACTGTTAATGTTTGTTATTTTCACCTTCTCCCATTCAGTGCTGGCTTCGCCACAACATGTACATAAGACATATATAAATGAGTTAATAGCATTTCTTGCCCTGACCTATAATACTTTTCCTACATGGAGACTAAAATATTATTTTTCTATTATGACCCTGCAGCTCCACTAAATTACAATCTAACTAAGCAGTGACACAAGGTTCATGCACATAAAACTATTAAGAAGCTTAATAATTACAATATTCCTCAATATTTTTAATCCACTCACCAACTAATCTCTTCTATGTATTTTGCCCTATAATCTTCAATCAAAATCAACAAATCGACCTATATTTTGTCAAAACTGGAAAAAAATTAAAATAGGCAAGTAACTTTGTAATTGCATGATTTTTTTACTAAGCCAACGCATAATTATTAATTAGTATGTCCACTGAGCAGTTGAGTACCTTTTAACAGAAAATCAACAAACTTTTTAGCACCAAGGACCACAACAAAATAATTTTTATATTTGAAGAACTGTCAGGGGAAAAAACAGAGGACATGATAGGAAAACCTTCATAGTTCATGCATACTTCAGTAGTAGGTAACGAACTTAATTACCATGAGAATTCCTTTGATGTGGTCAACTGTGAGTTGGACTTTAAAGGGTCCTTCCTTCATGATTCCAAGAAGAACATCCAAAACGTCCTTATGCGCCGACTCTGCTCTTTTCGGGTTAAGATGTTCATCGATGATATCTTGATAGAAATCATCCAGTTCCTTACGGTTTTTCTTGAGCCGGACCATCATACCTGTAAATCTATCGAGAAATCCCAAAGATGGAAAATGGTCAGAGAAAAAGAAGCCAGTAAACATGGCACCGGATTCTCTAAGCATCAAGTCGAGTTTACTCCTCATATCAGCTCCATAATTTCCCTCTAAACTCTTGCCGAAAGCCGTCCGACAAATAATTGTACTCGTCATGGACAACATGGATTCCGACAAGTTGAAAGGTTTGGAATCATATGAAATATATCTTGATATCCTCTCAATCATTTGATTAACCTCGCCCTCTCTTATTGGACAGAAGCTTTGAACCCTGTTCGAATTGAAGAGGTGGACGACACATATCTTTCTGATCTCCCTCCAGTAAGCATCATAGGGGGCAAACGCCACGTCCAAACGGTCGTAGGACAGATGGTTCGAACCAGTTAGAGATGGTCTGCTACAAAACACAAGGTCATGAGTTTTCATGACTTCCTCGGCCATTCTGGCGGAGGAAACCACGAGAACTCGAGTGCGACCCAGTTTCAACGACATCAAGGTTCCGTATACCTGAGAGAGCCGCCACAACGAGCGATGAGGAGCAGAGGAATCGATATCGAACAAGTTGCCTATCAACGGGAGACCTGGAGGGCCAGGTGGGAGATGAGAACTTGAGGTTTGCTTGTGCTTATAACGGTGAAGGAACATGAGGAGTGTTATTATGACGGGAAGAGCTAGGATAAGGTAGAGAAGTTGTGATGCCATTGTTTGTTCTTTTTGGGGGAATGCTTTTGCAACAATAGGAAGTTGCTAAGCTAGCGGTGAGTCGAGAAAGAGGCAATGCATGGATCTGGATTTATAGCCCTCGATCCAGAGAATGCATATCATTGAATAGTATTATTTTTGTACAAATTAATGGCATCAAATAACGTAACCCATCATTTAAGCTAGAGATTTTTTGCATCACATGAAAAATCTCTCTCTCTCTCTCTAGACATCAGCATCGATCGTCGACGTAGACATGATCAGCATCTATCATATGCGTATTTGCCTTCTTTTCCACCATCTCTCTCTCTCTCTCTACTGCAAAAAGAGCTACGTGACAGCACCAGCCGAAGAAAAATGGACAGAGAAGAAAACGAAAAAGGACACAATAATCTCTTGTTTGTTTTTAAGGTTTTGTAAATTAACGTAAGACTCAAAGAGTCCTATTCGAACCAAACAACTACGTATATATGGACGACGGTGAGAGTGACGAATGAGTTCATATATATGGGAATGGGAGTAGGGGACGATTGTTCCGGAATGACTTCCTTCGACATAAGTTTGGTAGTAACCACTTTGTAATCGGGACCTCTTCTTTGGACCAACTTGTCACTATAATAATGGTCCCAATCAGAAAGAGAGAATGCGGGTTGGTTTGTGTATTTGGAAAAAGGTCAGGGGCATATTTGTAATTTTAGAGAATGTATAAAAGGAAACTGATAGGCAGGAAAAATAAAATAAAAAAAAATTATTGCCACACACTCTCTTCTTATCTTCATTCTCGTCTTATCGCCTCTTTTTTCCCTCAGCAAATAAAAAAAAAATCCACTCCCTCTATGAACCAATGAATATAAGAAAACACAATCCTTATTCTTTCACTCTCAAATAGCCGAACCATCATCGCTTGCTTCTCTCTCCCTCTCTCTCTATCATCCTCTTGTCAATCTTATAGGGAAGCCACTAGGGAGGGTTCTTAGCACGATGGCCAACGATTCTTAGTTCGCGACACATCATCTTCAATCGTCCTCCGTTCTTCATTTGAGCTGAGGAGACTGTATTCAGTGAGCGTTGAGTGGTCTAAGAAAATTTGTTTCCTTCGTTAAGTGTGACGTTTTGCCTGTTTTAAGTGATTAACAATCCTTATCGATTATTAAGCGCTTAATTACCACTAACCGTCAATTATTAACCATTTATGACTTGGTAACTCGACAACAAATTTTGAGCTTCCGTTAGACAATTCATATTCTCCTTGGTTATTAACGGTTTTTCACTGCACACCTAACAACCTACAGCTTGAGCAACAAGAGCTCAATTTCTGCAATTTCTCTCCGGTACTTGTAAGATCCTTATGAATTAGCCATGAGCCCATGACAGAAAAATTGAGTATTTATTAACGGTTGATTGTTATGTCCAAATCATGGTGAGATGTTGACTAGTCAAGCCTAATAGATATTAAATTAATTAACCCCCCTATTAATGATCAGTTGATGCAACTATTACCCGCTATTTACCCATATTCTTATCTGGGTTGAGTAGGTGGTGAGCGGATGAGGTTGGGTTGTGGGTTAACCAGTAAAAGCACTATGGGTAACCATTAGACAGGTTGACTAATATTTATAATAAATTACTCAAAAATTTGAAAGTTACTAGTAATTTAGACACTTTTCATTTGCCTCTTGTGATCTGTCAAAGGGCGACAAGAATCCGCGACTCATTGAAGTAGCTTGATGGACCGACACAGGGGCGAAGCTAGGATTTCAAGTCCGGGTGGGTCAAAAAAGTAAGATTTTCAAACAAAATCATGATAAATGAAATTTATTTATTACACAATGCTATTTGAGGGAAATAAAATCAATCAAAATAGGGTTTAAGCTAAAAGTAAGGTGAATCAACATGCCAATAAGATCGAAGTCCTTTGACTGCTGAAGTTTCGGTAAACTATAACACAACTGAGCAACAAATGATATATTCACTAGAAAAGCATTCTAAGAGCATCAACATGAAAAACTTCAGTTAAAATGACAATCTAATTATTTATTTTTCTGTAAAAAAAGAACTAGAGGATACTACTTTCTTGCAAATCGGGAAATAACATCACTGTCGAATTTCGTTGATAAAATCCAAAATCGAGCTCAATTTCAAAGATATACATCTAACTTCTAAAGTAAATTGTTGATACTTAAAGAAACCAATGAACACAATTTTCATATTTCAATTTAGATTTAGATTTGGCAACCATCAATTCAATTTCTGGACCCACAACCCCATAACTGGGAGTAGAAAAGCATGAGAAAAAGCAGCTAGAAATATAAAATTTTCAAGTCCAGGTGGGCCAAAAAATATAAATTTTTTTGAAGAAGCTTGATGGATCGACACAGGGGCGAAGTCAGGATTTCAAGTCCGGGTGGGCCAAAAATATAAAATTTTCAAACAAAATCATGATAAATGAAATTTATTTATTACACAATGCTATTTGAGGGAAATAAAATCAATCAAAATAGGGTTTAAGCTAAAAGTAAGGTGAATCAACATGTCAATAAGATCGAAGTCCTTTGACTACCGAAGTTTCGGTAAACTATAACACAGCTGAGCAACAAATGATATATTCACTAGAAAAGCATTCTAAGAGCATCAACATGAAAAAACTTCAGTTAAAATGACAATCTAATTATTTATTTTTCTGGAAAAAAAAAACTAGAGGATACTACTTTCTTGCAAATCGGGAAATAACATCACTGTCGAATTTCGTTGATAGAATCCAAAATCGAACTCGATTTCAAATGAATACATCTAACTTCTAAACTAAATTGTTGATAATTAAAGAAACCAATGAACACAATTTTCATATTTCAATTTAGATTTGGCAACCATCAATTCAATTACTGGACCCACAACCCCATAACTGGGAGTAGAAAAGCATGAGAAAAAGCAGCTGGAAATATAAAATTTTCAAGTCCAGGTGGGCAAAAAAATATAAATTTTTTTGAAAAAGCTTGATGGATCAACATAGGGGGCGAAGTCAGGATTTCAAGTCCGGGTGGACCAAAAATATAAAATTTTCAAACAAAATCGTGATAAATGAAATTTATTTATTACACAATGCTATTTGAGGGAAATAAAATCAATCAAAATAGGGTTTAAGTTAAAAGTAAGGTGAATCAACATGTCAATAAGATCGAAGTCCTTTGACTACCGAAGTTTCGGTAAACTATGACACAGCTGAGCAACAAATTATATATTCACTAGAAAAGCATTCTAAGATCATCAACATGAAAAATCATCAGTTAAAATGACAATCTAATTATTTATTTTTTTGAAAAAAAAATAGAGGATACTACTTTCTTGCAAATCGGGAAATAACATCACTTTCGAATTTCGCTGATAGAATCCAAAATCGAGCTCAATTTCAAAGGAATACATGTAACTTCTAAACTAAATTGTTGATAATTAAAGAAACCAATGAACACAATTTTCATATTTCAACTTAGATTTGGCAACCATCAATTCAATTTCTGGACCCACAACCCCATAACTGGGAGTAGAAAAGCATTAGAAAAAGCAGCTGGAAATATAAAATTTTCAAGTCCGGGTGTGCCAAAAAATATAAATTTTTTTGAAGAAGCTTGATGGATCGACACAGGGGCGAAGCCAGGATTTCAAGTCCGGATGGGCCAAAAATATAAAATTTTCAAACAAAATCATGATTAATGAAATTTATTTATTACACAATGCTATTTGTGGGAAATAAAATCAATCAAAATAGGGTTTAAGCTAAAAGTAATGTGAATCAACATGCCAATAAGATCGAAGTCCTTTGACTACCGAAGTTTTGGTAAACTATAACACAGCTGAGCAACAAATGATATATTCAATAGAAAAGCATTCTAAGAGCATCAACATGAAAATCTTCAGTTAAAATGACAATTAATTATTTATTTTTCTGGAAAAAAACTAGAGGATACTACTTTGTTGCAAATCGGGAAATAACATCACTGTCGAATTTAGTTGATAGAATCCAAAATCGAGCTCAATTTCAAAGGAATATATCTAACTTATAGACTAAATTGTTGATAATGGATCTCATTTTGTAGAGCACAATGAACTCGTTCCATCTGTGCAAAAAAATTAAAATCCGAGTTAAAACGAAGAAGATATGAGCCAATTAAGAAAACTATGGAAAATAAAAATGATCTTTAATTCTCCATCCTTTGATCTGGATTTTCTAAATGAAGGGTCCAGATTTAATTATTGACGGGTTATGCACCCTATCTTGAGCCGTTAAAGGGATTATGATACTTGACATGTGAAGTTTTTTCATTACTCATACAAATTTTTCAGTTGGCTATTGTAAATGAAGTATTCGCCGAGGATGAAAATAAAGTCAGTAACCACATATTCTTGGAGACCAAAACTTTTTACGTGTGTGGAAACATTTGAATCTCACGATCCACTCATTTCAATTTAGACACTTATCATCTGCCTCTTATGAATTTGTCCGACGCCTACAAAAGTCTGCGGCTCATTGACGAAGCTTGATGGATCGACACAGTTCTTTTACTACTATTATTATTGCTATATATTAAGACTATATAAGTAAGTTTGCGGCTGTTAAGGGATTATGATAGTTGTGACATGTGAAGCTTTTTTATTCCTCATACCAATTTTTTAAAGATCGATCTGGAATTAGGGATTTGGTTTCGAATCTGAAAAGAAGAAAGGGGAAGAAGGAATGTCGACAGGGACGATGACAGACAAAGTAAAGAGAATGTATTCTCTTGTTTTAAACAAAATGGGTCGAAGTCAAAGGTAGGCCCAGTTTGATTAGTTGAGAAATAATAATAACGAATGGGCTTTGGAGCCCTTAGCCCTTTGTGTTTCTGAAATAAAGAACAGAGTAGAATTCTGTATGTTTTCCAGAACAGAAGCAAAACAGCAATCTTCAAAGAGAAAGAAGCAGAAATTGAAATGCAAAGAGAACACCGAGATTTTTAACGAGGTTCACCCAAAATTGGCTACGTCCTCGTCTCGGCAATAGTCACCACTACTGCCGAGAGACACTATTGTTGTTGCTTTAATTAATACAGTTACAAAGAAAATAAACTCTATCTAATATCAAGAACCCAACCAGAGTTTCAATCCCAAAACTCTGCAAAGATGATCAGCCACTTCTCTCAGACCCTATACCCCTGGAGAAACCCCCTTTTACTTTAAGACAAAAAGCCCTGTACCGCCTAATGCTCTCCTTTGTAAAAGTTAAACTCAAAGAAGAATGAACAGAGAATATATATAGCCCCAAATTAGCCGTTAGGCTAACTAGCCGTTTGATCAAGATCATCACCTTCCTTTTCTTATACAGTCACTTTCCTTGTTAGCATTTTCCAGATCTGATCTCGTCCATCAATTATATCCCCCTATATCAGAGTTTGCAAATGAAAGAGTACCTGCAAAAGAACACTTTTCGAGCACAGAGCAAAAACAACCATCGAGCACAGAGCATGGCAATAAACAACCAACACACACAAGAAGAAGGTCTAAGAGCAACTAAATCCACACTGTCAAATACACAAACCAAAAAGAATCAATCATATCTGAAAGACAACTCCCCCAAGATTAAGCTCCCCCTAAGTCAGACAACAAAGGATTCATCGGAGCTGTAATCAACCAGTCTAGCAGGGCCATAAATGAAGGCAGCTTCAAACTGATAATCATCATCTTCTTCTTCTTCTACAGGATCACTTTCACCGTCAGGTTCTGGATCACTTTCTCCCTCAGGTTCTGGATCAGCATCTCCTTCAGGTTCTGGATCAGCATCTTCTTCAGCAGCAGCAACAGCCATCTCCCCCTCGTTTGCAATCTCAAGCTCGTCAAGGACTTGGTCAATAAGGAAGAACCAAGAAGGCTGTTCCGTTCGGAAAGGAGAAATGGAAATCCCCAGGCGAAGAATTAAATGAGTGACCAAGGGGCCAAGCGGAAGAGGGCCAGGAAAACTAGAGTCCGCAAAGGTCATGAATACTCCAAACAGGAGGTACGAAAAGTCTAAAGGAACACCATTAACAGCATGGGCCATGATCCATAAATCTAAGGGAAGGATGAGATCTAAGGATTGGGTGCGCGGCAGAAGAATTCGAGTGATCACAAAGTGAAGAGCACGAAGCCGAGGAATGACAGATGCAACAGGCAGAGAAGTTGCAGGACCAGGATGAATCCCAGTGAGCTGAACAAATTCTGCCGCGATATTGAAATTGTATCTTCACAGCTCAGACTCATGGGCTAACACTTCGCCTACTGGAGGAATGCCAAGAAGGTGAGCCAACTCGGGCACAGGCACGGTAACGACATGCCCATAAACTACAGTTGAAAAACAGCGACTGTGCAGGCCAAAAGAGCGGAGATTTGAGTAAAAGTAGCGAACCAGCTCAGGACAGATCAGAAATGGAGGATCTAGCAGAAGAAAATCCCAGCCAAGATTATGGATGAACTCCCTCACATCAAGTCCAAAATCCATGAAGTCAGGATGAACATGAATGGGAGGAGCAATAGGACGATTTTCATAAGCTAGAGCAAACCTATGACGACTGAAAGAAATGGGCTCAGGGAAGATATAACCAGTGTAGGTTTGAGAGAAAACAAAGTTCATTGTTGCAGAGGAAAGGATGACTGACAACTTGTGAGTTCAGCAGCCAAGGAAGCAGGGAATAAATAGTGGACGGCCAAGGAAGAGCCGGGAAAACCAGTCGACACAAAGAAGAGAAAAATGCAGAAACCGAAAAATCAGTAAACAAAAGAAAGGAAACAAGAACAAAACAAGGAAGCTTAATAAATCAAGAATCAACACACAAAAGGAAAGACAGAGCAAGGCATCATGTAGTAAGAAAATCGTGAAGATTTTCAATTGACCGTAGGCCAATGTCATAGCACAGACTAGTAAATCGATCAGTAGATAAAGGTTTAGTGAACAGATCAGCTAACTGGAATTTAGTGGAGATGTAATCTAAAGCAATGACCTGATTCTGAACTAATTCACGAATAAAATGATATTTGATTTCAATGTGCTTAGTGCGAGAATGCTGCACTGGATTTTTGGTCATGCAGATCGTGCTAGTGTTATCACAAAACAAGGGAATGATAGGAACAGTTAAACCATAATCACCTAGTTGATATTTGAGCCAAAGAAGTTGAGTACAACATCCTCCGGCTGCTATGTATTCAGCCTCGGCAGTAGAGAGGGCAACTGCCCCTTGTTTCTTACATGACCAAGAGACAAGTGATGAACCAACAAATTGACAGGAGCCACTTGTGCTCTTGCGATCACTAAGACTTCCAGCGAAGTCTGAGTCGCTATAACCAATCAGATCAAAGCAAGTTTGTTTAGGATACCAGAGACCTACATTGACAGTTCCCTTTAAGTATCGAAATATACGTTTAACTGCAGCCAAGTGACTAGCCTTGGGTGCAGCTTGAAATCGAGCACATAAGCATACACTATACTGGATATCAGGCCGACTAGCAGTCAAATAAAGGAGGGAACCAATCATTCCCCTATATAATTTTTCATCTACTGTTACGCCACTGTCATCCTTGTCTAATTTAAGATTCACAGCCATTGGAGTTGGGCTGGAATTGACATTGAAAAGATTAAAATTGTGCAGCATGGTGTTAATGTATTTAGACTGACTTATAAAAGTACCATGTGCAGTTTGTTTAAACTGAAGACCAAGGAAAAACTGAAGCTCCCCCATCATACTCATTTCGAATACGGATTTCATTGCTTCACAAAAGTCAGAACACATAGAAGGATTTGTTGACCCAAACACTATATCATCTACGTACACTTGAACTATAAGAAAGTGACCAGCAGAAGTCTTAGTGAATAGAGTTTTGTCAACTGACCCTTGAGTAAAATCTTGTTCCAAAAGAAAAGCAGTTAAGCGATCAAACCAAGCCCTCGGGGCTTGCTTTAACCCATAAAGAGCTTTGTTTAACTTATAAACATAATCAGGGTGCTGAAAATCAGTAAATCCGGGAGGTTGAGACACATAAAACTCCTCTTGGATGTGACCATTTAAGAAAGCACTTTTAACGTCCATTTGATATAATGGAAAATTCTTATTGCAAGCAAAAGCGCATAGCAGCCTAATTGATTCAAGACGAGCTACGGGAGCAAAAGTCTCATCGTAGTCTATTCCTTCCTCTTGGCAATACCCTTGCGAATAATATTACCATCTTCATTCGACTTATTTCTAAAAACCCACTTGGTTCCTATAATGGTTTTTCCTAGAGGTCTAGGAACAAGTTCCCAAACTTTTAAGTACTCAAACTGATTTAATTCTTCTAACATAGCATATGCCCATTCCTCATCATGTAATGCTTCCTTGTATGATTTAGGTTCTACTTTAGAAATATAAGCATATTGTCCAGGGGTGTACTTACCTCGGGTTCGCAGCCCATCTGTAATGTTACCGATGACTTGGCTTTCTGGATGTCTTTTTTGAATGTGGGGTGGTGCCTGGATGTTCTTCTCAATGTCTGAAATGGAGGCTGATTCTCCTTCAGAAGTGGTCTTGATCAAATTGGAACCGGATGTTTGTATTCCCTCTTCAGTAGGCGTGTCTTTTAGGGACGGATTGTTATCCCAATGTGTCAACTCAAAGAGATCGAAAATATTGTTTCCTGTCTTAGGAACCTTAGTAGTAGAATCAGTATCATCAAATAAGACACCTTCTTGGTATGTTTGTTATAAACTCTGTATGCTTGACCTTTCAAAGAATACCCCAAAAAGATGGATTCATCTGACTTGGCATCGAATTTTCCAAGGGTATCTTTTGTATTTAAGGTATAGCAACGACACCCAAAAGGATGAAAATAAGAAATATTTGGTGTCTTGTTTTTCAGGATTTCATAAGGGGTTTTGTTGATCAATTTTCGAACAAGAACCCTATTAATAACATAGCAAGCAGTGCTTACTGCTTCTGCCCATAAATACTTAGGGAGATCATAGTCAAGTAGCATAGTACGAGCAGTTTCTATTAATGTTCGATTCTTTCGCTCAACTACCCCATTTTGTTGAGGAGTGCGCGGTGCAGAGAACATGTGTTTTATACCCCTCACCTCGCAGAATTCAGAGAATTCTTCAGATACAAACTCACCCCCATTATCGCTTTTAATACCCTTCACATCAGAGTGCATTTTGACAAAGGATTCAAATTTTCTAAAAGTTTCATCCTTGCTAGCAAGAAAGAAAATCCAAGTGTATCTAGAAAAATCATCAACTAAGACAAACACGTAATTTTTTCCACCAAGGCTAGTGACAGTACATGGACCAAACAAATCCATATGGATTAGTTCAAAAGGTTTGTTGGTTGTAATGTCAGAGATAGCCTTGAAAGGTTTTCTGGAGTGTTTGCCAGCAGCACAAGCAGTACAGAAGAAATCACTTCGCTCTTTTAAGTTAGGAATACCACGAACCAGTTTTGATTTGGATAGAGACGTAAGTCTCTTCAAACTGATATGTCCGAGTTTTTTATGCCAGATTGTCTCTTGCTTATAGGCTTGAGACACTAGACATCTTTCATCAAAAGCATCAAGATCACATAAATCAATCACGTACATATTTCCAATACGATTTCCTATAAATATTACCTTGTTATCACTAATACGTTCTACCAAACAGTGAGATGACTCAAAAGTAACTTTGTTTCCACTACTACATAGTTGACTAATTGACAACAAATTATGTTTGAGACCATCAACTAACATCACGTCTTTAACAGTTGGCATAGGGGACAGGCCAATAGTCCCTTGTCCAACAATTTTACCAGCACTGTTATCTCCAAACACTACCTCACCCCCCATTTTAAAATCCAAAGTAGAGAAAAGAGTTTCGTTACCTGTCATATGGTGAGAACACCCGCTGTCCAAGTACCATTTGCTTTCTGTTTCGTGGAAATCCTCATTGTGATATTGATTTGAGTCGAGGTTGCTTTCTTTAGCCATGTAAGCTACTTCAGTTTGTCCTTCCTCATCATTTTCTGATTCATAATCACTCCAAGATGCTGCTAAGGCTTTCTCTTTGGCTCTCATTGTGAGAGGGCAATTTGCTCTGACGTATCCTATTCTTCCACACTTGTAACACCCTTGAGGTTCACGATCAGTTGCTCCGCCATTCATATCCTTTTCCTGGGAGGCATATCTCTCAAAATAAGCAGTTTTAAACCGACCAGTGTTAGCAGTATTTCTTCCTGAGTCTCCAGTACGATTTATAACTTCATTCTGTCTATAGGATAACTCAGGAAACCTATTGTCAGGATAATGACTAGAAGATCCAGAAAATCTATTGTTTGACCCTCGAAAGTGATTTTTTGTTTCAAAGTGACCTCTATTTCCAGCAGAACGTTGCTTTTGGTCGTTTTTGTATTTCATCATTCGATGAAATTTTTTGCTGACCATAGCTAGTTCTCTTTCGAAATCGGCATCAATTTCAGAGTCAGAATCAAACTCATAAACATGACTTTTGAAGGCTAGATTCTTCCTACGACGCTCATCTTCCTTTCCCACTTGTTTAATCACATGCTCATGACTCAAAAGAGAACCTACTAATTCATCCACAGTTAGAGTATTTAAGTTTCTCGCTTCTTCAATGGCTGTCCGTTTAGGTAGCCATTCCTTAGGTAGGGAGCGAAGAATTTTTCTAACCATATCCTTAGATTGAATAATTCTACCCAACCCTTTTAATTTGTTCGTCAAGCCAGTGAATCGGGAATACATATCATGAATCCCTTCATTCGGCTGCATATCAAAAGTCTCGTATTCATGCATCAATAAATCAATACGAGTTTC